GATACCCGACATAGCTGCGTTTTAAATTACATTCTTTCGATTGTGCCTTCTTAGAATCGAATTTCGCGATTTGGAGTTGAAAAAGGTGCAAAACCGATCAGCTTATATCTAGGATGGCGCGCTTTTGGATTTGTCGGGATTCGAAAATTGACACTCCTTTGTTTGCAAAGTCATGTTTGTTTTACCTTTATGATAAAATATTGTTGACATGAAGGTGTTTTATTGACAGGTTTTAGGTGACAAGTTTATACAATAGCAAATCAAGCGTGTAATATAATCCTTCAGCAATCCTAGCGCGCGTCTTCTTGACGTTAGCGACCTAGTTAGCATCGAACTTACACCCTCGCGATCGATCATCGGGACGCCACGACAATGTCCTCCTTTTCTTTCCATTCTTAAAGAAAATCGATAAAACAGTCAACATTTTGAATTGTAATGTACGATGCACAGCGTTTCACTCGCAAAAAACGTGACACATACTAACTATGGACACAATTTGTAATCTGTGAACATCTTAGTGCCACATCACGCACCAAAGAAACCATGTGCGTTTAGCCATTTCTTCCTTCCTGAGAAACTACTCGAATATTGCAGAGAGTGGTGTCACATTTTACTTCTGATGTAGTCGCAAAACTCTCCGATGTATGCGTGATGGAAACTACTTTTTGAAAATCTTTATTTCCAGATTTTCGGAAGAGTGTTTCTTGCAAATTCAAGAGCGTACTTATCGAACTAAGTAATCTACGCTCACGTATCAAAGTATCAGGCGTGTAATCGTTAATAAAATGATAATATTTTCGTTAATAAAATTCCTTTTATTAACAAAATTGATACAACAATCAACAATTTGAACTGTAATGTAAGGTGCGCAGCGTTTCGCTTGCAGAAAACGTGACACATGTAATCTGTAAACATCTTGCTGTCTCGTCACACAGCAAAGAAAACATCTGCGTTAAAGTTATGACTCTTCGAGGACAAGAGATTTTTATGTGTTTGGCTGCTCTATTATGCGAACAACTTTTGCCGATTCGCGAGTGGAGTTGCCAAGATATCTTCATGGAAATATTTTTTTATCAGTACATTCAGCAGCAGTGAAGTGTTAGTCAAAAATGGTGTCATTCGGAGTAAACATTCTTTTCTTAACTCAAGAAAAAAATTTTGGGGGGCTCTGTTGTTATTTCACAAAAGCCCTTTAAAACTGAACAAGTTGGAAAAATCATAATTCTCTTTTAAAAAGCCACACCAACCCGTATTATACCATTAATTTCAAGTCGTTTTATCAGTATTTCCTTCAAGCTCTGACGCCGGCACCCACTAACAAAGCGCGATTTTTTAATTCAATATCCACTATTGATGGAAAATGTTGTAACAAATAAGTTGTTCAAATTTACAGCTGCGCAGACCAGCCACCATTCCTCAGAAATTCCACTACAAAATTTTGTGTAATGGGGAAGGCAACAGGAAGAATTCAGAAAATTTAATCTTTTCTGAATAATTTCACAGAAGGGAGCGTAATTTCAGAACGTAGCTGTCCCAGTTTTACACCGACCATTTTCCAATTAAGAATGCTGCACACAAGCTTCATCTCACACTGAGAAGAATTTGCCAATTTCCTTTTCAAATTGTGGTCACCTACGTTCCATTATACTGTTACCACATCACTCAAGTTGACATGTACTAATAGAAACTGGTTTTTCATTGGTATGTGAAACCACGTATAACCAGTTATAACATTAAAAAGTTGAGCAAGTTGAGGTTAAGCTTTTTCACGAGCAAGTAGAGAAGCTGTGAGAATTTGCAATTTCAAATTACACGGTAAAACAGAAATGCACGCCTCAGGGTTGAAGTATCTCCTCTATAAAGCATACACACTGGTTAGCTCCAAGTGGCTAATTTAGAATTATTCACCAAACGAGCCAGCTCCTTTTTTACTCGTTTGCTCCTTTGTTACTGTTGCCGAGCCAAACAGGCCACTAATTAAAAGTAATATGCACTTTTACAGCAGGGTAGGTTCGTGATTGAAGTATGAATCAACAAGCTGTAAGCAAGAGAAATAAAAGAAATTTGACGAAGAATGGCAAGAAAAAAATTGTCATCGAGAAGGACTAGAGTTAGTGTTTTAAGAAGTCATCATGTACCGGCACCCGACCAGCAACCATATTGAGTTCTGCCACGCTGTGCTTAAGCTTCTTTAAAGAAAAAGAAAATTGTCGACCAGAAAATAGAATAAAGGATTGTCACTGGCAAGATGTGTTTCTGCCGAGAGTCTCCTGAGACTCAGCAGGACGCCTTTGCGTTCCCATCGGCGGTCTGTTTTTCAAGTTTTTAATCGGAACAACTCCACAACAAGATCAACCTTAACAAAACAATTTTTTCGGATAGCGTATTTCGTAACCTTTCCATCAATAAATATAGTTTACGGTAGTTACGCTTCAAACAGTGCGTTGACAATTTCTTTTGGGAAAGACACCCGCGAAGGTATATTGTTTTCATCAAGATGTTAGATCGGAGACATGCGCAGTCGATTGCGTGTTGTATATCCGGGATGTTTGTAATGACATCACGTAGAATGCACGTGGAAATATCGGTAGACAGCCGTCCCGCTCTGCTCGAAATCAAGGGCACGATAGACGAGATGAGTTTTTAAAATAGATGTCTT